GAGCATGCGAGCGAACTCCATGCAAGGACGACTCCGATTGGATATTCATTCGTCGTGTTGCATTTCGTGCTGACTCCTCACGCGCAAAATGCGCTCGTCTTCCGTGTCCGCATCGGCCGGGAGCTTGAGATGCTGCGCTAACTGGTTTCGAATAGGGTCATATGCATGATAAACCCTATGGGACCTTTAATTGTGATGGCGTGGCCAACGGTGATGTCGGCGACAGCCTTGTTGACAATCTTAGTGGACCGATAATCTTGCGAAGGCACTTCTAGGAACCGCAGTGCTTCCATCCATCTGCCAGAAGCGCTAAGCTGCGCACCCTTTATGCAATCTGAATTCCTTCTGTCCCCCAAGCCCGCTTCTTCAAAGCAAGCCCTGATGCTGGAGGAGCTGAAGCCCACATGGAAAGCGAGGCGCAGCAAGTTGAGGAGACACCCAAGGAACTTCATCTCACTTCAGATTCAGACCGGAAGCCTAGAAGACTAACGAAAATCAGAAATTTTGCACGCTTGCCTAGTCTTAGCTCGCTCGGATGCTTCAGAATCCCTAAGGAAGCTGCTCTACACGGACCTCGGACTCTCCTGGTATGGCCATTTGGGCCTTGGGCAGCTTGTGGCCTTTGGCCCATCGTGGCCTCGGTCAAGGTCTGGGATGTTTAACAACCCTAAACCCTCTAAACCTTGTAAGTCCTATAAATCCTACAAATACTATAACCCTGTGTCCGTATAGGAGGCATGTTCATCTAATTTCGCCGCAATACTCGGTCGTTTAGGCGTGCAGAAGCTTTGCACACCTCATCTGACCTGCGCCCCCATGCCAGGAGCAATGCTCTCGGACAAGGGGTTCTAAACAACCGCGTGGCAATGTAAGGTGGCAAGTGGGGGCAGGAACTAAACCCTAAACTTCCTAAACCCTAAACCTTAAGCCCCAAATAAAACCTAAACCGAGGCTCTGCTCGCTGTCTGTGTGGAGTGTTAAAGTTTTTTGGGCACGCTGCCAAGGGCACAGCCTCGTGGCCTTCGGTGACCTGAAGCGCAAGCAGAAGCTGATGGACAAGCAGGACCAGCCAAGCAACGAACGAGCTCGAAGGCGGGGTACGCGGGGCTTCATGGAAGGAAGCAGCAGCTGCAGCTAAAGGGGATTTGTTTTCTCGCCTAAAGGATGGGTTTTTCGCCAATGATTCCAGAAGAAATCGCAGGGCCACAGCCCCAAGGTGGCCATGCGCAGCCTCTGCGAGTGGAGCCGCCTCTGGTTGCGGGCGGGTGACGGGGGCGACTGCGTCATCTGCGAGCTGGGGCCCTGCGAGCCTGGATGGAGCGCTTGGGGCTGAAGTACCGTGGGCAGAGGCTGGCCATTGCTGCCGCCGAGGCACTCCTGCACCTGCTGAAGGCCCAGCGGGAGCTGCCGCAGCAAAGCTCAAGACGGACTGCCTCAGCTTCCAGGACCTTCCCAAGAAGTTCTGGCCGGCGGTGGAGTGCCTGGCACTCCAAGCACCCCGACGGCACGCCCGTGTACCGCGTGAGCGAAGTGGAGCAGCTTCGAGGGCACCACCAGGACCCCCAGATCCAGGCCCGGATGCCCGCGGCCGCTTCCTGGGAGCGGGTGGAGGACCCCGTGGCGCACTGCCTGCTCCAAGGCCTCCCCGGCACCGGCAAGACGCAACTGGCGCGGCGCATCGTGCAGCGCCTGAGGGAGGCGGGGGACGTGGTGCAGCTGGTGTCGAAGACCCACTCCTCGGCCCAGAACCTCGGCATGGGCGCCCAGACCGCGGACCACTGGGTGCGGCGCACGGTGCGCAACGGCCGCTGCAGGCTCGACTGGCTGGTGGTGGAGGAGGTCACCCAGCTGGACGCCGGGCTGTGGGCGGACGTGGCCTGCGTGGCCATGGACAAGTCGGTGCGCTTCCTGCTCATGGGCGACTTCCGGCAGCTGCCTGCCGTGATGGACAGCTTCGCAGGCGCAAGGGTGGAGCGGCCGCTCAAGGAGAGCGACCTGCTGCGGGACCTGGCCTCGGGCTACTACCACGAGCTTTCAGAGAACCAGAGGTCGGACGAGCGCATCTTCCGCTTCATCGGCTGGCTGCGGGTCGGCGAGCCCGAGGAGGTGCCCCTGGCCGAGGCCATCAGGGTGGCGCGTAGGGAGTTCCCCCGGCGGCCCGGCGAGCACCCCGACACGTGCCTGGTGATCTCGCACGCCCACAGGGTGCAGATCAACGAGCGCGAGAACCGCAGGCTGGCGCCGGCGGACGCGGTGCTGATCGAGCACAAGGAGGCCGGGGCGCCCACGACGAATTCCCCGCAGAGCATGAGGGTGTGGCCGGGCCTGAAGCTCGTGGGCGCCGGCGGCAAGGTGCCCCGCGGCGTCTTCGTGACCGTGAAGGAGGTGGACGGGGAGCGAGTGCACCTCGACGGCGGGCAGCAGTTCTCGCACGCCGAGCTCCTGCGGCAGACGCGCCTGTGCCACGCGATCACCTACGCGAGCTGCCAGGGGCTCACCTTATGCGGCCGCGTGTGGCTCATGGACACCGGCACGCAGCACTTTAATGTGCGGCACCTCTACGTGGGGGCCAGCAGGGCCACGAGCAGCGAGCTCCTCAGTGTGCTTTGATCTTGGCAACAAGGGCCCCAGCAGGGAGCTGGAAAAAAACGGCAGAATTTCCCCTGGCAGGGACCCAATTTTGGGTTTTTGCTGGCTTCGGACCGGTGTCTCCCGCCACAGGAGCTCCTCCGGTCCCAGGGGCGCAGCGCCCTGGCGTAGGGTTTCGAAGTCGGGGCATTCGCTCCCCGACCCCCAGGCACCCTGGCAGGCCTGACTCAGGCTTCCTCGGGGGCTGCTGGCTACTGATCACCCAGCAAATTGAGCCCTGAAACAGTCGGGCACCCCCTCCACCTGAGATTCTGCATCACGGAGCGTCGGGCGTCCTTCGGCGCTTGCGGGCCGGCTTCTTGAAGCGGCATGGTTGCGGTGGGGGCTTGCTTGCGGCGTCGCCGTTTGCAGTGCACGCTTTCTCTTCTCGCGGCCGGTGAGGAAAACCAACACAAAACTTTTATTTTTTGTGTTTTGCATGACACGGCACGGCTTTTTTTTTCTGAGTAGGCGGGGGCTTGCGGCTTGCGGCTTGCTTGAGTTTTTTTTGCGTTCGATTTTACTTGGCGTTTTTTTTGCTTGCTATTTTGCTTGATTTTGAACTATGCTGCCGCGGCAGCCTAAGGGCGCCCGAAACCCTGAACCATGGACACGACTTTGCATGGCTTGCTTTTTCACGTTTTTTGCACCCGCACCGCGCCCTTCTCTGAGGGACATGTAGGCGCGGAAGCAGGGCTGTAACACACAGCAGATGCAGCAGGCGCAGCAGACACAGCAGACAGAGCAGGCCAACAGACAATACATAGGAGCGGGGGCGCCTGGAGATCCTCTTTCGTGTCGAGGGCTTGGCTTTTCTCGGGCGTGGGGTTTGAGGACCCACCCCACCCCTTCGCCCCCCGTGCCCAGGTCTTCACACCATCCTCTATTCCCGGAGCGCATTTGTAGGAATGCAGGTAGGAGCGCTGGACGCAAGTGTATTAGGATTGCACCCCCCTTGCCCCGTAACTAGATTGAGTGCCCTGGAAGCCTTCCTTACCGCCCAGGTGTAAACCATCTTGGCTTCACGCAGGCGCCTCAACAGAGTCGGCAGAGGGTTCTTTTTCGGACTTGAGTGGGGGTTTCTTCTGTCTGTGTGCGCCTCGGAAGTGCCCTGCGCTGTCTTCCCCGCCCGTAACCTTGCGACCTCGCCCTTTCCGGGAGCCCCGGCCCCTGTCTGCTTCCCAGGTCCTGGCAGCTGGTCGACTTCGTCTTCACTGCGAGCCAAACCCTCAGACCCCAAGTCCGTGCGCCAGCAGAAGTGTATGCAAGGGTTTCTGCTTGGAGGGTTGCCAGTCTAGGCGTGTGGTAGGCCCCTCTTCTAGGTGTGACGCCCGCGGTTTAGGTAGGGCTGGCCTAGGTTTTTTTTAGGGCCTTCCTGCACCGACAGCACACCGTGCCTTGCGCTGTTACATCCGCAGTTTGCACGGGTTTTAGACCACTCTAGTGTAGCCCCCGAACGGTCTGTGTGCCGTCAGCATGTTGGCACCCGCAGCGGAGTTCTACGCGCGCAACAGGGCCTTCGATGACCGCAGCATCCGGGCCGCGGAGGAGGATGTTGCCAGCTTCTGGGCCAAAATCGAGAACCTCGACCACATTGACAACCGCACGGGTAACCTCAAAAAGGACCTCGTCGAGTGCTTCGCCCCAGGCGCGCTGGACAGAGTCGTGCGTGCGGAGCACCCCGAGGACATGATTTTCTGGCCCGTCGACGATGTGACCTGGTGCATGGCACGTGCCGAGTTCGAGGGGCGCGCGCCAAAACAGAGGCGCAAGTTCAAGCTTCCCGTCGTCACGACGAAGGGTGTCGTGAACTTCAGATGCGATGAGCTGCAGCCCTTGATCTATCGTGTGGGGGAAGACAAGCGCCTCATCATCATCGTGCCTGCACACCCGCTCCGAAAAGGGAAATCCGCCGCGGACATGTTCCGTGGGCTGCAGACGGCGCAGACGGGCAATCACGAGGGGAGAGCCTGGAGAATTCGTGTCCCGACAGCTGAGGGCCAGCCTGTGCGGGGGTAATTGTCATTCGCTGCATTCGCTGCTGGATACAGCCGGCGGCGCCTTGTCGGGGGCTGCGCGGGCCTTTGCCTGCAATTAGCAGGGCATCGCGCGTCAGACCCCCCCGCTCATTGAACAGGTGCATATACTCTGATGCGCTAGTACAGGCCTGCTTTGCACAGTGACAGGGCGTTGCGCAGGAGCACCAAAACAGTGCTAAGCCTGCGTAGGGCATCAGTGTCGCCATGAGCCACCCACGTTTTAGCCCGCTGTTTTTTTTTTGACGCCGCTGCAATCTTTCAAGTTTTCTTTGCGCGTCCCAGAGTTTTGGAGCAAGAGTGAAGTGAACGTGCTGTAGGCTTGTGTGAGCCGACATGGAGCCATCAGCTGTGCGTGCAGGGATTCCAATGGTGATGCCCGATGCTTCTGAGGGTGAAGAGTCTGCCACGAGCCTGGCAACAGACGCCGAAGAAAAGGATGAACAGCCCAAAGAGGAGGCGGAGAAGCAGGCGGAGAAAGAGGCTGAGCAGCCCAAAGAGGAGGTCAGGCAGGAGGAGGTCGCGGAGGGGAGCGTTGCCAAGCGCATGCGAATCCACGGACCTGGAAATGGGTCAGAGCAGGACAGCCTCGCAGACGGCGAGGCGGTGGACAGCTTGTGCGAGCCAGTCAACTGCGCTGCTTTGCGGCGCCTCTTGCAATGCCGTGCCGCCTGGTCCCTCAACCTGCGCGAGGACTTGTTCAACATTCTCTTCCGCTGCGACCTCCAGAGTCTCTTAGGGGGCGACACTCAGGAGCTGGAGGTGATGTATCGCGCGTTGCCGGTCCTCAAGGGCAAGTCAGGGCGCCGCTACAGCGGAGCCAAGCAGCTGACAGATGACGACTGCTCGGCGCCGCGCGTGTGTCGCCGCGCGCACAAGCAGGGGCTGTCCCCGTTTGAAGCTACTCGGGGCCTCTTCTCCATGGACAAGATCGTGAAGGAGCTCGGGCGAGCGGCGCTGCCCATCGCAGACCTCGACATCGTGCACGCGGCGCCGGTGCTGCAGAACAGACGGCACCCGGACAAGCCGTGCTTGGAGCGTCTTGTCAAGGACCGCGATGCCTGCTACCAAGAGCTCGCCTGCAGTCGGGAGGCGCCTACCTTCTCAAATTGTGTTTTTTTACTACTAATCCTGTTTTTTTGTATAACACCAACTAGTCTGCGAGGCTGCCAAGAAAGCCTTCAACGGCTTGATCTGTGGCGGCGGCGCCCGCCACTTGCAGACCATGGCGACGGACTTCGGCGTGACCATCAGCCCATTCTTGAACGAGTTCTGGGGCGAGCAACAGGCCATCAGGAGGCAGGACGCCGCCAATCACCCTCAGGCAATGCAAGAGCTGAGGCGAAGGGGAACGCGCTATCCGGAAGCTAGTCTCCAAGAGCGGCTGTACGAGGTGGACGAGCGGGCTGCGATCGACAAGGTGGCAGAGTGGCTGAGAACGACCCCCGACACCGGTAGCATCGTTTCTTATGAGCATGACGGGGTGGCCGTGCTGGACCCAAGTGGGGTCGGCGACGACGCTTGGAAGCAGCGCCTCGTGGATGGGGCACGCCAACAGACCGGGCTGGAGTTTGCTGTGAAGCCGTACAGATCGGAGGCGATGATTTGGGAGCTGCTCAGGCAGGAGCACCCAGAGCTGGACTGGGACACCCAAGACCTGGATGCGTATCAGCTCGAGCACAAGCGCCTACAGCTGAAGTACTACATGCGGGATGGCAGGTCCCAGCCGGACATGCTGGTCGGCGAGCTCATCGGAGCTCAGCCCGCTCCCGACAATTCCGCGGTGCCGTGCCGCGAAGTCTTCCGGACGCTGGCAGACGCCCGCGACATCGAAGTTGCTGCATTCAACGAGGACTCTCGCTGCTGGCACATTCACACGAAGCATCAAGTGAAGCACCGGCTGGTGGAGGCAGCCCAGCAGGTGGTGGACGGCTGCTGGAAGGTAGACGTCTTTCCGCCGGCGTGGACCCGCAAGTCTGGGTGCATGCTACAGGCAACGGAATTCTTCGTGGGCCAGATGTACGATGAGTCCTTTATGGATTCCATGGATGCGAAGGAGACTGATCGCTATGTTCTCTTCCGCGGCGGCCTGACGCTTGATCGGGACACGAAGCTGGTGGAGCGTGGCCGCAGGGACCTCTTCATCACGCGCAGGGCTGGCCTCGAATACCCCGCTGAGCTTGCCGCGAAGTGGGCGGACGAGCTGAAGCAAGTCTTCGAGCGGGCGAAGGCGTATGAGCAGGGCTTCCTCACGGCCCCGCTGAACGGCTACCCGGTGATGCTGTCCGAGACGTTCAAGGACCTTGCAGAGCGCCTGGAGGTCGTGCAAGTCTTGTACTCGTTTTGGGAGTCGTGGCCCATGGTCACCTTCATCCTGAAGCAGACCGCGCGGTCTTTGTTCTGCAGGGAGGGCTACGAGGAGTTCCTCATCCACATGGGAGAGGGCGCGAACGGCAAGGGCCTGTGGACGCAGATAGTGGCCACGCTCTTTGGCGAGTACTGCCACCTGCCCAGCGACCTGCCCGCACCCCCTGAGAGTCTTGGAGCTTTATTGAAGCTTCTATACCTTATAACCCCTAAACCCTAAAGCTATGGAGAAACGAAAACACGCGGCTCAGGCATGGACACCTTCTGCACGGCCTTCAACCCGAGCAATGCCACCCCCAACTTGCTGGAGATTCGCGCAAGGCGCTTCTTGATGGTGACCGAAGCCGAGGGAGCATCCAAGGTACGCAGCGGCTTTGTGAAGACCCTCCGTGACCCGACCTCGGAGATCACTTGCCGAAACTTGTACAAGAGCAACGTGACATTCCAGCCCCGCTTTCTGCTGAACATGTCCAGCAATGTCGAGGTGCGATTCACGTCTACAGACGGAGGAATCGGGCGATCGCTCACAGTGGTGCCCTGGCCTTTCAAGTTTGTGCAGAACCCCATCAAGGCGAATGAGCGTCCAGTTCGGACTGATTTCAAGTACGACCCGGATCTCCGCCGTCGTCTTGCAGAGGAGCTCCTGGTCTTGCTCGTCGCGGTGGACGAGGTGTTCCTGAAGCAGAAGGCGCCTGGAACCACCATCTTCCCAAGGCCGCAGGTGGTCGAGGAGGCTTCGAATAACAACATGGAAACTTCCGCCAAGACTTTGTGGCACGATTTCTGCCAGCAGCTGGCGGTGGCGCAGCATGCGGGCGAGGCCTCCACGCAAAGTACCATCATCTTTGCCTGGACGAATTTCTGTCGGGCTGTGGCCACCAAGGCAGAGGCGATTGCAGTGCTTGAAGAGAACCTCGAGAAGGTTCGCAGCCAAGGACAGCGCTACTTCAGGTTCAAGGGCCACGCTCGCGGCTGGCTGAAGCTGGCTGAGCAGGTGCCCTGAACGGTCTTGCTCACGCTTTTTGTGTTTCCGAGCAGTTCCCTTGTTTGGCTTGTCTTGTCCCGCAGAGACCATAATTACAAGTAGCAGCTTAGGGGTTAGGGTTTAAGGCTCAAGCTAACTACCCGGAAGACATGGTCTCCTGCCGGAGCGCTCCTGCAAGCGCTTGCAGTTGCAGGTGTACATAGGTACAGTAGAGTGCAGGTCAGCCGGCCCCCCATGATATGTGCCTGATGGCATCTCGCGGCCCGCCCGGTTGACAGACCAGGGTCTCCATACTGTGCAGGGCAGGCTCTGGAAAACGTGGATCGCTTGCTTCCTGCAGCTTGCGTGTTTTTTTGGTGCTCTGAAGCTTGTGCCCTTTCAAGTCGCGCCCAGGCCCGCATCTTCACGAAGGCTAGCGTTGGGAACTCGGAGTGAAGCCGTGGCACCCCCCTGCAGCCACCCCACCCCGCTACTTTCGCTACTTTTGCTACCTGGCACGCGCCCCCCTGCAGCCACCCGCTACTTTTGCTACCTGGGGTTGCCAGGACCTGGAAAAAACTATTTAACCCAACCCCCCCGTCTCGACCCCAAAAGGGGGGGTTGCCAAGGGACCCTGGTGAGGGTAGGAGGGCAGTGCAGGGCCTTTAAGGGGGGTCCATGGTGAGGGTGTGGAGCAGTGGAGGCTTCTACGGGTCCTGGTGAGGGTTGAGGAGCAGTGCAAGGGGGTCCTGGTAAGGGTTGAGGAGCAGTGAAGGCTTCTACGGGTCCTGGTGAGGGTTGAGGAGCAGTGCAAGGAGGTCCTGGTAGGGGTTGAGGAGCAGTGAGGGTCCCTGGTGAGGGTAGTGAAGGGTGTCTAAGGGGTTTCTGGTGAGGGTTTCGGAGGCCTGGTGAGGGTTTAGGGGGGGCAGTGAAGGGCGTCAAAGGGGTCCCTGGCGAGGGTTTCGGAGGTGAGGGTTCAGGCCACCCCCGCTACTTTTGCGACCTGCCCCCTCCTAACCCCCAGAGCGCCCCCGCTACTTTTGCTACCTGCCCCCTCCTGTGCCCCCAGAGCGCCCCCTCCTTTCGGCGCCCAGAGCGCCCCCGCTACTTTTGCTACCTCCCCCAGAGCGCCCCCCGCTACTTTTGCTACCTGGCCCCTGGGCCCCCAGAGCGCCCCCGCTACTTTTGCTACCTGGCCCCTCCCCCCCAGAGCGCCCCCGCTACTTTTGCTACCTGCCCCCCCTCCGCCCCGCTGGCCCGCCCAGAGCCCCCCGCTACTTTTGCTGCTTCTGCTACTTGCTGCCCCGCCCCCAGTAGCGGAAGTAGCGGCCGGGGATCCAAGCAGTGAAGTAGCGGAAGTAGCGGAAGTAGCGGGAGTAGCGGAAGCAGCGGAAGTAGCGGAAGTAGCGGAAGTAGCGGAAGTAGCGGGAGTAGCGGGAGTAGCGGAAGTAGCAAGTAGCAACGGGCAGCGCCCCGCATGCTAGGTAGCAAAAGTAGCGAGTAGCAAAAGTAGCCAAAGTAGCGAGTAGCAAAAGTAGCAAAAGTAGCGAGTAGCAAAAGTAGCAAAAGTAGCGGAAGTAGCAAAAGTAGCAAGTAGCAACGGCAGCGCCCCGCATGCTAGGTAGCAAAAGTAGCAAGTGGCAAAAGTAGCGGAACCAGTGGAAGTAGGCAAAGTAGCAAGTAGCAGCAGTAGCGTAAGCTGCTCCCATTGGCGCTCGCGATGCTCAAGGGATGCCCTCGGGATGCTCATTGGCGGCTCCCGGAATGCTCGGGCGCGGCGCTCGGGATGCTCATTGGCGGCGCTCGGGATGCTCCAGGGATGCCCTCCAGACGCTCATTCGCAGCTCTCGGGATGCCCAGGGATGGCCTCAGGGGATGCTCATTGGCGGCGCTCGGGATGCTCCAGGGATGCCCTCGGAATGCTCATTCGCAGCTCTCGGGATGCCCAGGGATGGCCTCGGGATGCTCATTGGCGGCGCTCGGGATGCTCCAGGGATGCCCTCGGGGTCGCACGGACGGCGCTCGCGATGCTCATCGGCCGGTGTCAGGCGGAGTAGCAGCCAAGTAGCAAGCGGCAAACCCAAGGAATTGCATCCACAGAGCTTCTTGTGGACAGGAAATGCAAGAGGTAGCAAAAGTAGCAAAAGTAGCAAGGAGTTCGGGGGCCTGTGAACCGGGCAGGGTGCGCAGCGGGCAAAGCTCACCGTTTTTGAGCGCGTTACGCTGCCTGCCTCGAGTTGCGTGCCGCGCTTGCTTTTCCACTTCACAAGCTTCTCTTGTTGATCTTTCTCTCCGAAGCTCTTGCTACTTTTGCTACTTTTGCTACTTAACTCCAAGACATCTTGAATGCAAGTGCAGGGCGTCTGAGAGCGCAGGAAATGCTTGAATCCTGCAGGTGGCAAAAGTGACAAAAGTAGCAAGTAGCAAAAAGCATCAGAACAGTTAGAAGTAGCAAAAGTAGCAAGAGCCAAACGCAGCAGAAGTAGCGTGCACTGCTCTCAGCCTTGGAAGCTTGGCTCGTGGCTACCTTTGCCCCCCGCTACTTTTGCTACTTTTGCCCCCCGCTACTTTTGCTATTTTTGCCCCCCCCCCAACTTCTGCACCTCTCTCTTATGCAGGACCCCCCCCGCCCCCCTGAAGGCTGTGCACGGACAGCCTCTGTGAAGATGCATTCCATTACATTTTTGCCTCGAGGTAGCGGGGGTCTGCAGGAATGCCGCCCCGGGGTCTCCAGCCCGCATCCCTGCAGCAGCCACCCCGCCGCGGAGATGCATTTTAGGGCACTTATTGGGGGTGAGCGTTCCGACGAAAATGCCTCGAGGAGCAAGATTCTGGGGGGTCCCTTTTCTTTTTTCCTTTTCCTTTTTTTCTTTTCTTCTTTTTTTTGGTTCCAGTTCCCTTTCTGTTCCCTTCCCGTTCCCTTCCTTGCTTCCCCGTTCCTTCTTGTTCCCCCTTCCCGTTCCTTCTTGTTCCCTTCCCTTGACCCCCCAGAATCGCGACGAAGAGGCATTCTCATTGCGAGCACCCAATAAGTGCCCTAAAATGCATCTCCGCGGCGGGGTGGCTGCTGCAGGGATGCGGGCTGGAGACCCCGGGGCGGCATTCCTGCAGACCCCCGCTACCTCGAGGCAAAAATGTAATGGAATGCATCTTCACAGAGGCTGTCCGTGCACAGCCTTCAGGGGGGCGGGGGGGGTCCTGCATAAGAGAGAGTGACATTTCTTTGTTTGCCCGGTTGCTTGCAGGACATGTGTAGGACATGAGTGCTGTGACATGGCAAGAACATGTTTTTGTTTTGGCATGAGCATGTTTGCATGACATGAAGGTGCTTTAACTTGACATGTTTTGGTTTGCAAGTCCGAGGATGAGTTTTGGGAAGCACAGAGAGGCTTTTGGTTCTCGGGAGTTGACCTGAGAGTCATCTGGAAGTGCTGAAGCAAAGCTCTAAGGAACAGACTTTGGCCGTTATTCACTCCGTGTGCCTTGCCCCGTCGTTCGTACCGTGTCGTAACCGTTTGACACTCGACTGAGGCATTCTGAGAGCATGCTGTATGTTTTGCAACAGACCTGAAGTCCTGAAGCAGTAACCAAGATGTTTTGCATGTTACTTTTGCATTCTCCTTTGTCTAAACAAAGTTGAGATGTCGTTTGAAGACTTGAAGTCTTTGCTCTTGGAGAGAGCACCTTTACTGACTGAAGATCTGCGCTAAAGCTGCTTTTCCCATGGTAGCGGAGCGTCCTGAAGAGACGTTCCAGGAAAAGCCATGGCCCAAGTTCCGGACGCGTCTACAGTGCCAGTACCTGATGTGAGCCCTGAGGAAGAGGCTTTGCTGTTTGGGTTTCAAGGACAACCGACAGCACCTGCTGGAGGAGCGAACCCTTTTGCGTCGCCTCCAGCAACTCCAGCTCAAGCTCATGCTTCACCTACTGGAAGCCAAGTGGGTGGAGTACAAGCTGGAAATGGCCTTGGTGAAGGCAACTTCCAAGCCATCTTCTTGGAGATGCTAAGGCAGCAAAGTCAGGCCAACCAGCAGAACCAGCAGTTGATAGCTGCCCTCATGAGAAGAATGGATTTGGAAGAGAAGCGTCGAAATGAGGCTGAAGAGAAGGCAGCGGAGACCGCACGTTTGGTTGCAGGCTGCAGCTAGAGCCAAGACGGAAGACCCGTTTGCAGCTGCACCGAGCACACCTTCTGCCTTTTGCAGGAGCTACCTCGTCTTCGAGCTCTGTTCGGAGCCCATTGGTGCAGAATAGGGCGGAGAAGTACCTTCCATCTCTGCCGATGCTAGAGCATCAAGGCATGAACAAGGGCAGGATGCGAGAAGTCGAGACATGGCATGCCTACCTGGAGACACTGTCATCGTGGCTTGCTCTTCAAGATGAGTCTTTCGTTCGAGAGTTGCAACTCTGCGTCAAGCAAAAGAATGAGATCCTTCAGAAGGATTTGGCGGATGATGTTGCTGCTCGAAGTGCGAAGCTTTACTACTATCTCACCCAATCTCTCTCACGTTGGGAAAGAGGTCAGGAGTTGCTACGCTCGTGCTCGAAAAGGCAGTCTCTCAGTGCCTGCGGATACGAGGCTGTGAGGACCATCACGCAGCAATACAGCATCGTGTCTCGCATGGAAGCTGTCTACGTGCGGGAGCAGTGCCTCAAGTTGGCGACTACGTGCCAGCATCACCGACGGCCGACAGACCTCATCCGTCACTTGGAGGACGAGTTTTCTCGTGCCGAATCCAAGCTTGGGAACTTTCCAGAGTTGCGTCTCACGGAGGCTGACCGCTGCAGTGTTTTGCTGCAAGCTCTGAGCCAGGAGCTCAGACAGTACGTCGTTCTTCATGGGAAGAGCAACGACTGGACATCGCTGAGCGATAGCCTTCGGTACTATGAGGAGCAGCTTCGTCTGTGTGAGGGTCCCTTTTCCTCAAATCGGCAGATGTCAGGAAAGGGTGACAAGCTTTGTGACCACTGTGGACGAAAGGGACACCTGGCTAAGGACTGCTGGAGCCGTCAGCGTGAAGCCGGTGAAAAGGGCAAGA